GATGGTTGTACTGCAGACCTATCAAGAACAATGCCAGAACACACCAGATGTGCTCTGTGCTGCAGAGGGTATCCTCAGCGGAAGGCACACAAGTCCCAAATGACAGAGGTAGTATGGAAGTAAGAAGTGCACTCAACTGATTTCAAAGCATTCAGCTGCCATCACCTATTTATTACCACCACAGCTGAATATAGATGCCTTATCAAAACAATCCTTCTCAAGGTCAGAAAAGTTCTGATATTCTCATGCTCAGACAGGCATCATCACCGCAGATTAAAATGAGTTTTGCTGGTGTACAAGTTGAATGGGACAGACGACATTGCTGAGTCTTGGCTTACAAAAGCCTCTAAGAGAAACATACAGTCAGTCAAAGTCTAGAGGAGAATAAAAAAATAGAACATGCTGGAAAACAGAATTCATGCAGGCATTTGGACAGTTTCGTAATAAACTAGTATGTTCTACTACATTTTCAATAGAAATCCAGTCAAGCAGTCTAATAGCAATTTTTTAACTTCATCCAATGGCTGTTTTCTGCATGAGGTCTCTCAAGTACTACAAACACGCAACAAAGAACATTTTGCTCTGGTTGCTGTGCTTCACATAACTGGCAGATCCACCTGAGGATCTGACAGTACACGTTATAGAAAATCCTGAGCAATGGTACACCATAAAAATTGAATGCATGATTCAAAGAGAATTTATGGTGCTGAAGGGAGCAGGGTGTGATAAAGACATGAGCTCTAGAAAACGCACCTGAAGTACTTTCAGAGCCACCTGATCCCTCTTCCAGTTAGTTTGCATTTATAAATATAATAAATTGGCTTTATTCGGCATAGTTGATATATTGACAGCTCTACTTTCATTATTAATTCTTAGTTTGATACATACTATGGAAAAATTTTATCAGGATATGAATTTTGTGAAAATGTTTAATAATCAAATTTAGTTCTGGTCATTACTGGAACTCTAAAAAACACCTACATTTTATGATTTATTCTTCAGATCTACTGCATGAGCTGTTTTAAATCTATTTAAATTTAACATACTATTGATACTATTTTAATTAATACATAGGCTATTTTTTTATCTCAGTAGTAGGTCAGACATCCTAATAAAAAGGTATATTAAAACAAATAGTAACTTTTATCAACTGACTTGTACTACTCTCCAGAAAAAAACCAGATTTACTCAATACAGGCCACTTTTCATAACGATACTCTAACAAGTATAACTATACTCCCATGCTTTAATACTTTAACAAGTGAATTTCTTATCAGTATTTTATTCAGAAATGAGTCAGATTAATGAACATAAAATACTGCCTTTCCTGAATATTGACTCAATATTATCATTCTTTCAGACTCTAGGCAGTGTTGTAATATATATGCACTAACTTCAAATATTTATTCAAAATGAGGATCAACAAGAGAAATATTTCTTGACCAGCTCTATGAACTGGTAAGCTATAAAAATTCTCTATCCAAAAATCCTACTTCTTTCTAGAAAATGTTAAAAACTTTCTCTTTGCTACTAATAGATTAAGGATGTTGCAGCATCTTCATAAGACATCAGCCTACTTAATTCCAGAAGTATTCATTTTATCACATTGATTTTATTTATTTCATATTTTTATTCACTCTATCTTTACACAGTTACAGAGTTGTTTTATCTAATAGCAGATTACATCTGCCCTGTAATAGCTACCTTAGTAGCAGAACATTCTTAATTCCTGCCTGTTTACTACTGTTCTTGGCCTTGCTACCCAAAGATTTCCTCTTACTTACTCAGCATCTTATCCATCTTTTATATTCCATTCTTGCTTATATTTTCAGGTTATTATCTAGAATCCATTTTCCACTTTGTTTATGTGGCCTTTTATTTCTAAATATTTTGCTCTCTTTCCTACCAAAATGAAAGGAGATATTTATGAGGAGTTACCATCCAGTTATGAAACAGTGGTTTTTTAGTAACTTAACTGTTACTGTCCACAATTTCTATTCATATTTCCTATTAGCCTCCTATTAGCCTATTAGTTGTTCCTCATAACAACTTTGGACAAATGAACTGCTTTGAATTAACCTATTTCAGGTGCTCTGTCAGTTCCCTCTGAAAGTCATTCTGCACAAAATACCTGATTCCTATCCCACACTTCAACAAAAATGAATCCAATAATCCCTTAAAACATACCGGATACAGCAACCTTTGTTTACAAGCATTCCTTTCAGGATTTTTTGGAAACTATTACTAGATTCTACAATCTAATGGTTTTAGCTCATTGTGTAAATGTCCCAAATTGGGGTGACCACAGCAGTGCAACACTTTATTACATTACATTACAAATATGTGCTCAATTAGTAAGTCATCACATCCTCTACAGTGATCAACTGATGTATATCAGATTTCTACCACAAACCTCTTCCCTATGTTTTGTAACTTATTATCTTGACCCAAACAAATCCAGGATCCTGTGGTTCTGGATTATCAATAACTTTAAAAGCATGTAACGCTGCCTGCTATAAACACTCACACTCTTCTCTGAATTTACCCTGTTCTCCCATTTATAGCTGTAACTAGCAGCAACTTAATTAGCAACTCCAAAATAATTTAATTGTTGTATGTTAAAAAAGAAGTATATAATGTCACAAGACATGGAATGGGTAGAAAAAGTAACTGCCTTCAATTTGAGAACAAGGAGAAAATTACAGTTGCACTCTAAAAACAAGTAAAACTTACGAAGTGATCAGAATAGCAGACAAAGATTAGACAATTTTGTAAACCTGTTTAAGTGATATATATAGGTGAAACTTGATCTCCATATAGAAAAAATTATTTGAATTACTGGAACTGGAGTGAGAATCAAGATCAGGGGACAAAAAACTGACAGCTATCCAGAAGAAAAGAAACAAGGCAGACCAGACTTCAAAAGAAGAGCTGTACTCTTCAACAGGAAGGAATACTGCTATTATTACAGTAAGTATTATCACAATATCTCATTATAACATCAGATACACAAGAGATATTTTAGCAGGATTTACATGATATACTGCACAATTCCACTGGATTGCTAAGGATTTTACTTTTTTTACAGTGGTATATTGCTAATAAAATCTGATTTTAGCACCCAACTTAACAAAGTAGTTTACTTATAGACACTATATTTGTTTTCAAAAAATTGTTCTGCAGAGGAACAGCAGTCAGCAAAATTGTTACTTGAAATATGCATGCATATTCTTTATATTCAGGCAAGAAAATAGGTGGTTGTTGTTGTTGTTGTTGTTATTATTACTATTATTATTATTATTATTATTTAATATTTACATTTTTTCACATCTAGTGTAACCATCAAAGTGCTAATGAATATGATAATTAACAATGAAGCTGTCATCTCATTCAACAAAGAATGAAGTTAAGATAATAGTTGCTAATAGGTGATCCTGCTCACTACTTTTACTTCTGAGAACAGAAGATCTTTTATTTTCTCATTTTCTAATTAATTTAAAAATTTTCATTATGGAACCATGTAAAATATTGATAGCATGATTTTTTTATTTCCTTATTTCTGTAACTTCTACTTTCACTTTATTCAGTGAAAACTCATAGCAGTCTAAATGGAGACTGAATTGCTTCTCTCCGTCATCAGTGACATAGGAGTACTTAATTAAAAATAATAGATAATACATTAGATTAATTCAGGCTTTTCCATATTTAGCCAAAAATAAGCATGCAGCTGTGGAAAAAACACCTATGTCTTCCTCTTAGAGTAAGCATTCAGTATTAGAAGAAAGCATATTTTCTCTCATAAAAATTTATAGTCTGTTCAGGAATAGGCAGCATATTTCTGAACAAATGGGCATAATGATCAGTTTTGTACCTCTTTTTCAACAAGTACATCAAAAGGCAAACAGAAAATATTAATCACTTTAATAATAAACTTTAAAAATAAAGTATCTAATTTTTTAAAGAACAGGCACTTTTTCATGAAAACCAATCATTATTTTCACCTTAGATAAGTTAGCTTATGGATTACTTGAATTTAGGATTCCAAAGCAATATCGAACATCGTTCAGTCTTTTTTTATAAGGAAATTTATATGAACTTAGCAACAGAACTGAACACGGGATGATTTTAGGCAAATGCTAAAGGTCTGAACACTTCCACGTAGAGTGACTTCAAATGCTTTCTTTTTCCAGTGAATCAAAATACCATTACTCTTTACTTTGAATGCTTCAGCCTTCTCAAACATATCTGAAAGCAGCTCACTTCTACAGAAATCCAAGAGCAGTAGAGAAGTAGCTGTTTCATGGGTTAATAAACAATAGCCTACTTTGAAGGTATGAAGTTGGTATACAGCAGTTATATACTACATTAATAAAATCACAAAATATTCTGAATTGGAAGAGACCCGCAAAGATCATCAAAGTCCAACTCATGGCCCTGCCCAGAACTATCCCCAGGTGTCACACCATGTGTCCAAGAGCATTGTTCAAAATTTTCCTGAACTCTACCAGGCTGATGCTGTGACCACTTTCCTGGAAGGAATATAAGGAAACAATATTCTACACCCTGCTCTTAAAACTGCTTTCCATTTTGCAACACAGAGGCCTCCTTATATAGTATTTCTAAAACACGAGGCACATGCATATGGAAAATGCAGTAATTCACAGTAATCAATAGATATGAATTACTGTATTAAATATGCTGGCAATTAATTTGCTGCAAAGTAATCTGATACACAGCTAAGGACTTTCTTTTGGGACCAAGTAAATGTCAGCCATATACAAAAAGATGACCAATAAAAGTCATGGAGGTATTTGAAAGTCTGGGAGAGAGGCAGCGATTCTTTCTCCTTATTCAAACCTGACACCAGAACACTGCAGCAACTACAAACACTGTTCTGGAACAGGGAGTGCATCCAAGCCTTGCTTAATCTTTTACATTTTGCTTTCAATCAAAAGTACCTTCACTCAGGTGAACACTCAAAAGAAAATCAACATTCAAACCTTCACAAATGTCTTGAACTCTTCTACTTTGCCACTGGTGAGCAGCAGCTCCTTCTGTAGAGTCTCCAAAGCCTGTGTACTCTGCTTAGCCAAGCCATGTAGTTTTGAGATGCAGCAGTTACAAGCTCATTCATAGCACATTCACTCTCCATCACTTTTCTCTCTAATTTAGCAATCTTGAGATCCTGAAACTCATCCACAGGGACACAGCAGTGTTATGATAAAAGCTGATGGAGAGGTATGGTAGATTACAAACAAATGAATGAACAACCAACCTCCCACACCATAGGTGACATCACAGAATATTTCACTTGCAACGTACACTATGTAATTTCATGGCAAAAAGTAATTTCATTTTCAGTCATTAACGTCCATGTTTCAGTATGTAAATTTCAGAAGTGTGACTGAATTACATCAGAGAAACAGATTACTATTATTCTGCTATTTTCCCCCTTTCTGTACTGGAAGTTTAAGCTGATGACCTTGCAACTTTTCATTAGAAAGTAAGGCAAGAAAAAGTTCCACAGTGGAGCCATCAAAACTCTAATTATACCCTTTTCTCCAAATCATCTTTAGCTTGGTGATACACCTGCTCATACTGAGACTTCTCTTTCATAGCTACATCAAACCTTTGTTTCATTGAGTCATTGGAAGCTTTTTTGTCTTCAGCCTTCACCTGAAATAATGAAAGGCCAAGAGCATTGACTATCAAGATAGAAAACTTCAAAATTTGAATAAAATCAGAACTAAGCATACCTATATTACATAAAAATATACGATTACATTACTGAAGTATCTTTTTCTGAAATTGCAGACTTTAATACATTTCTACTGTTGATCCAGTAGAGATCAGTTCACACACAATCTTGTTACATAAAATTTTGACTGGCACTAAATATAAAGAAAAGCTCAGAGGTGTTTGTTCCTATATATTTTAGACTCACACTACTTGCAAAAGGGAGTAAACTGCAATTTCCACTAATTTATTTTGTCAGAGATAAAAACATAAATTCAAACTCAGTTGAGATAATAACTGTCTATATGTTAATAGTCTGTAAAGCTTCTTAGATAATTAATATCTAATGCAAACACTGATTGGGGGTAAAATGAAAAAAGCCAATGCTCCTAAAAATCGTTCAGCTTTCCTATACTGCTAATCACAAAGTTTTCCTGACAATATTGAGTAACAGGGAATTTCTTTGATCTTTTGCAGTAGATAATGTAAAATTTATCAATCTGATTTTCCACACGGAATAATCAAAATAATGTATGGAATATAATTCTTTGGAAATGAAATGTTTCAAATACTCAAAGTACAGCACTAAAGCACATTATTCCATATTAAATCTTTTATCCAAAGCCAAAATCAGGTATTTTTTTCATGTCGTACCTTAGCTGCCTTGCTTACTTAATGTTCTCACTTTCTGGCTGTGGATTTCTTAATAACACCTTATCTTTAGCATGGAGGGTTATACATTAGCTCTCTTTGGAGCTGAAAATGCTGTATGACCGACCGCAAGCAGGAATAGTGCTTGTGTCACTCAGCAAGCACTTGCATTCTAGGCAAACAAAAGCAAACTGGCAGGTTGTTTATTTCTATTTTGGGGTAATAAGCTGCATAACCTGACAGACAACCAAACATCATGATCTTTTTCTGGCATTGAAGGCCAAAGTGCAATGCATCAGTTGCATAAGAAATATGCTAAATCATATACAAATTCTCTTACCTTCAGTGAAATCATCCTAAAATTTTGCAGGAGAAAGTAATTTGCTATAGAAGTCAAGCACTACCTACACAGTTAGAAATACTTTAAGCTAAGAAGCGTGAATCATTCATAACACTGTAGTAGAAAATAGATTAACATATTAAAGCATTTAACTACTATAGCCAGGAGAGATGCATGGACTTAATTAGCATATGTCATGTAAAATTGCCCTTGTTTCAGGTCTACTATATTTTATGAACTTACAGTGCATAAAACTAAATCCCACTACTTACAGCACATCCTTGTAACTGTGTGTTCTGAATACTTTAATATTTAATTACACCTACAACAACGATAAATTAAATTGTGCTGAATCCATTCAAGCTATCACCATATACTGATTTCATACAAATTATAGTGGAGGGAATTACACCCTTCAATTAACTATATGTTCTTTGCTTTAAGCAATATATTGATTTAATATGTATAGTGTGTTGAAATAACTTCCGTAAATCCACCAGCTTCTGTTTTTTCGAAAACTAGAAATAGCAAGAAAGAAGTACCTTTCTCTCAAGACTTTCCAATGTTTCATTTGAGGTTTTCTCATTTCTTGATTTGCTTTTAGGCAAGACCTTAAGACTTCTGTCAAATGCCTTTTCATAGTAACATCCCTCTCCAACTCAGAAATTCTGCAGAGGAAGAAGTTGGACTGCATATCACTGCTAGAAAATTTGGTTAATATGCAACTAAAAGGTATGAAGGCAGTAGACAATCTATCACACCTGCAGCACTACAATACTTTCAAAAATGAAAGCTGATGCAGTTCTTGCAATTGGTTCTCAAGTACTAAACCCAGTTTGAGTCTCTTATTAAACAGACCTTTTTAAAATATGCAATATATTTGTGATTTGATTTTTGCTTGTCTGAACTGAAATCACAACAGTGCTGAAACTATTATCAAAAAAAGGGAAAACAAACCTGCTGAGCCCATAGAAGTCAATTAATTAAATTCCTTTGATGTTGCAAACAATCATGCAAACACTATTTTTTGCAAAATTATTTTCAAAAGAAAGTGAAATGGGGAAGACTCCTTTCCTCCAACTGAGTAATACATGGGAAATAGTTAGATAGAAAAAACTCTATCCCTATGTGTCAGATGAGATAAAATGCAAAACCTAGAAATAACATCAGCTTTTGTCAGGAACTTCTTGTAAAATCCCCAAAACTCCCATGTACTAAAAAGTAATCTTTGTTCAATGACAAAATTATGCCTTATAAAATCCTTTCACTATTATAACACAAATTAATATTTTAAATATAAACATAAATACCTAAATATGTCCAGATATCTGGATTTTTTCCAATGAAATCAAAATGAATGGTATTATATTCAGGTATACAACACTTTTAACACAATGTCAATATTGTATTTAAAAAAAAAAAAAACCCAGGAATACTATGCATCTAAAAATTTCTTTGACCTATTTCACCTTTATTCTCTTACTGCTATTTTGGTTATTATATTTTACAGCCTATAAAAAAAGCAAGATCTATTTTATAAAGAAAGAATGCTATCCAATAACTCTTTGAAATTTGAAATCTTATGGTGGAAAAATTCACTTTGAAACAGAAAATAAGCAATCAACAATTTAACCATTTTTAGAGCTCTCTATATTTCAAATGAACTATTTTCAGATAAGCAAACTGCATTCTTTCTTCAATTAAAACATCAGAAGGGTTAGATGAGTTAAAATCTTAGGCAGACAAGAAATTCAGATACACATAGCTTTTTTATAGTTGATATAATAATATAATTGAAGACCAGTATTATATCAATTACAGTAGGTAGAATAAAAAAATCAGTTGCATATTTGACAACTTTTGAATTTCAAAATGAATAACAGACCTGAGTCAATTCAAATAGAAACAAATACAACTGTCCTTTTGAACTTTTTTATGAATATAAGACTAGCTATTTAATCTTATTTAAGCATCTGAACCTTGGCATGTCTCTTAGCCCCTAGGCAAAGAATTACTGAATTTGAAAGACTGTGTTTAACAGTGCTGAGGAATTCATTTCGACTTACATCAAGGATAAAATAGCCTGAGCTCCGACTTAAGGTATTCTTACTGCCATACAGATACTGTAGTTAGCTGCATCAGTTTACAAAAACCGGAATTTAAGCACAAACTGCTCCAGTTTCAAAAACATCCCTGTAACACTGTGCAAGACTGCAATAAAAAGAAGACATCGCTCTCTCAAGAATCGAGGAACAGTTGACGTTGCAGCAATTTCACAGCTGCCACTGGGTGGCACCAGACACAATGGATAGAAGGGGCATCACACTTCGCTTGCAGTTCCTGAATCCATTCTTCTTTTTCCTGGACTTGTTTTTTAAGTGACTTAATGGTGGTCGATTGCTTAGCGATCTCAGTGTTCGAATTCTATATTGAAAAAGATTAAAATATAAATAAAGTAGACCGAATGTCACTGTTGATCACAGTCAACAGTAAAGTTTGAAAAAAATTATCTGAGTAAATTTCCATGTATTTTACGAAGGTTCTTAGAAATTAGCTGGTAAAAAAGGAGTGTTCTTACTTTCTAGAAACACTTCAGCAGAAGTACATTCCTTGGAAAATATGATGAAAATCAGTACATTTCTATTGTTCTAATAATGTGTGGCTACTAGATATTCTCTGGGACACTTGCAAGCACGAATCAGACCGCATTTTCTCTTGCACAGCACGGTCAAAATAAAACGTAACAGAAGAGAAGTAAAACTGGATCTTCACTTGAACTATATTTTTGAATGGTACAGTCCTACAGCACAAGGAGTCTACATCTATACAGTAAGAATGTCCAGTAATTCCTTTCATCTTAAGTATTAAGAAATACAAAACAATTTAGAAGAGTGGTTGCTTTCACATCTCCAGAAATTCAAAGCACAAGACAGAGACATTTCCATTTGTCTGTACTAACACAAATTCTACATTTCACTAACAACCAGGTATGATCCTAATTTTCAGGCATGTGTCATTCCAGTGAAGAACATTTATACAGTTGTTGGCCATTCCTCATCTGTATATAAGAAAAAAAGTGCTTCTATTCCTCCAGGCAATTACACATCATCTACCCAAGATGAAAAAGAAGAAAGAAAGAAAAAGAAAGAAAGAAAAAAAGAAAGAAAGAAAGAAAGAAAGAAAGAAAGAAAGAAAGAAAGAAAGAAAGAAAGAAAGAAAGAAAGAAGGAAAGAAGGAAAGAAGGAAAGAAAGAAAGAAAGAAAGAAAGAAAGAAAGAAAGAAAGAAAGAAAGAAAGAAAGAAAGAAAAAGAAAGAAAGAAAGAAATTTAACTAAGTAGCCATCTTAGTAATCTGAGCACATGCATTGAATGCCATTGCTGAAATGGCACACATACCACATAGAGATATTTCAGAACTTCAAAAGGTGTTGCCAAAAGAGACATGTTAAGCATACCCACAAAATATGTATCTGCCTGTATGTATACAGTTTTAGCCACTGTACTACAGCTTTTTACTCACTATGTATAAACAATAAGCAAACAGATCAGATGCTGTAAACAATGATACTTCAGGAGAATTTCTCTGCTCGGTGCAGACTTGTAATGCCTATTAACATTAATGGGAGTATTGCACATAACTCTGTGCACCTCAAGGGGAGTATATATTCTTGTGTGCATAGTTAGATGTAAAATATTGTTCTTAATAACTTGTCTGCTCTATTTACTATTATTATAATGTGAGGTATAACCAGAAAATTGTTAAAATGATGTATGCTAGCAGAATATTCCTGAGTTTCCTGAGACCTGTTTGTGGAGATTGAGTTCCATTAGCGTAAAGCAGAGCACCCAGTTACGTGGTTTACACACCAGACATGAACTTGAGTACTTAGGTGGGCCTCTGCACACATTCAGAGGCAAAGACATATGCTTATGGCATTTTGCCTCTGAACTCACCACCCACACTTAACACATTTCATACTGTTGGAAAAGATACAAGGAATCATTATTACAATGTAAACAAGCACTGCAAAGATAGTGCTAAAGAAAAAAAAAAATAACCAACAAGGCCAGGTACTTGGACATTTTGAGCTATAAGGAAAGCTTTTGCTGCTTAGACATTCAGATATTCAGAAGAATAACTATGTGTCTCATCTTTAAGTCAGCTAGAAAGCCTGGAACAATAACTGAAAACCCTTTGTCAAATTCTTCAGCTAAAAAATAACTCTCAGGACTTAAACTAGCTTTAAATAAAGTTAAGAATTTCAGAAACTTGATTTAAGTAGTTTTTGAGCTCCTTATATTGAAAACTCTTATCCAGTTCAGAAACCAGTGAATTTACTCTACTACTTAGCATTTGGGGTCACAGACTATCTCCATCCTAAATATAGTTTTGCATACATGATTTATTTTTTCATTAAAAATTTAATATATCTTTAAGAAGGAATTAAAAGTCATGCTAGTATTTTTGATATCAGATTTATATATGCTTGCTAAATATTTCCTCTGCTGCAGAAACAAAAAAAAAACCCTTTGATTTTTCAGCAATTTATTTTGCTGTTCACATTTGACAGACAAATAGAGTAGGCTTCTAGCATGGGTATTACTCTTAGACTATTAAAAAAAAAAATCCCCATTTTTTAATTTTTCCTACCTGAGAGATCAGTTGGCTGCTAGGTTTCTGGTTAATGAAGACACTAATGTAAAAGGTACAACCCTAATTAACAGCAACAGAAGCAGATTATTCAATCCCAAACCTAAAAACAATACTCAAGAAGACAGTGTGTATGGTTTTAAGACCTCTTTCTCATAATTAAAGCAGATCAATTTATGTGCCTCTTCATGGCTACTCCCTGCTGGCCTCATCTCTTTATCAATGTGACCTACCTTTACTAATCCCTGAATTTGGATGTTATGCATCCAGTATGCAATAGCCACGATCTGTAATACCATGATTACCATCAACAGCTAAGAGGTCTGAGCATTGCCCACATCTCATGTGCTAGCACAGCTAATCCAGCATTTAGAGGCAGCTATGTTGACCATGTAACATAGCCTTTTCTCCTAGCTGATCCTTTGGCAGACTTCTTGCTACTGTTGAGTTTCTTCTAGCAGCACGAAGCTGCACCATTTTGACCTTTTCTCTTTCCTCTACTACTTAACAGAAAACAATTGGAAAAAAACCTGAAGACATACTGTTGCAAATATATTTCCTCCAGTGAGAAGAGATGAAGAATTAATATGTTTGAGCCAGGCCACCTGCTGAGAAAACTTTCGGAACAACACGGTCAAGTCTCTGCATCATTCACATGCAACAAAATCACCCGAGACTGAAAAGTGAAATCATCAACCAGTCAGTATTTTCCTACCAGCTAATCTACAAAAATAATAAAAAAGTCTCTCTGAAGACAAAGACAACACTGACACACACACAACACTGCTGCCCCATTAGCTCAAATTCTTTGCTCCACTTTCACAGACAGCTATTGCTTTTCTCTTTAGATTAAGAAAGGAACCAACTGAATTCTCATCAAACTGATTTCACAGCACCTTCCAACAAGATGTACTTAGTCATTGTGCAAAAACCCAGAAAGGCTCCTTGTTTGGCCTATCTGATCTGCAGAAATAGTTTTAGAACTTTTAGTTCTGTCTATGACTACATTTCTACTTACCATCAAAGGCAATCTAACACCTAAGCTGCTAATCATTTGCGATGATATACAAATGTTAGGCGTACGGGAGTATACGTATGTCTGCTTGACCCAGTTATGAACTACTGCTCATACAAATTATCCTCAGCACTAGATAATCTGTTCTGTCACCTTTAGTTTGCACTGCAGCTGTTTCATCTCTAAATCAGTGTTCTTTGAAGGAGCTGGTGTGGCTTCACTCTTGCCAGCAGTTTGAGACAGATGTTCTCTCAACTTTAATTTTCCTTGTAAATCTTCCTTCTCCACTTGCCACTTGGCCAGGCTGGAGGTCAAAATCTGTTTTACAAAGATAATAAACAATCAATTTCATCCTAAAAATATTTCTGCTTGATCATATTAGATGCTTCTCCAGTTCACCATTCAAGAGGAATGAAACTGTACATATTACCTGTAATTACATTGCATAACTGTTGGTTGAATTCTCTAGTACAGGCAAAGATGAAATCTTTGCAGAAAAAAGAAATCTACTGGAAACAAGCAATTATTTTAAGGCAAAATAATTCAATTTCGATTTAATATGTTGCAGTTTTAACTACGACAAACAAAAATTATCATACAAAACTGTAACAGCAGTTACTGTTGAAACATGTTTACCTAGAGCCTCCCTGGAATTCAGCAATTATTTCTACACAGAATATGAAGAAATGGTGTCTCAGGTACCAGTGTGAATAAAGGGTAGTTAGATGTCAAATCTGTTCTAACGGTGACCACTGTAAGCTCATTTGAATTGCTTGTGTTGTTCAGCAGTTGTGCTGACAACTGCTATAAAGTGTACACCCTTCTCTTGGCTTCTGTTCTGATAATTCTAGGGCTTGTAGAGGTTAAAGCAAAGTGGACCAGCTGCACTAAACATCTCCTGGTTGGCTGGTCTTTACCTATGTGTTATTTCATCCCTTTCAGTATATGCACCATAGCCAGAGAACTGCACATTCCATAACCTTGACTCTAGGGCTGAAGTACTTAAGTGGTAAAAGACAAGCTGGAGCAGGACAGGATAACAGATGTTAGTTGTTTATTCCACTGGGTAGGTCTTACCACCCTATACTGCAGCCAAAATGCTTCTCACTTAGCAACATAAATGCTAAGTCCAATTAGCAGACGAGCCTTGTTAGGGATTTAGTTCAAATAAATATCATGCAAACAAACTCTCTAGTCTTGTTGCACTTGACCGACAACCAACAAGACTTATTCAATCTTTGTACCAATATATTTCACATTACTCCTTTCAGAAGTAATGTTTTAAATAATTGTTTTAATTTAAATATTGAATGTTGTTCTGCAAAAAGGGAACAGAAATAATATCCATGCCAGTGATTAACTTTCACAAAACTGCAGTCAGCCGAAAGCCAACAATGGCCTAACAGCTCTCAGCTCCTTACATGGGTTATTAAAATGCTATCTTATTATTCCACATAAGCCTGTAATACAGTAGCTTAACATAAGAAACAATTGTACAAAGTGGTATTGAAATACCTCAAAATGCAAAAAAACCCCTTACTTTGTTAAGAATCCTGATCAGAAGCATGAGAAGATACATGACAGCCTGAAATAACTAAATGTGTGCCTGATTATAAGCTGATGTCAAATGAAATACCCAACCAGAAATCAAAAAAACAAACACAAAAATCCCCCAAAACTCAAAAAACCCACAAAAAACCACCCCTAAAAGCAAACAAAAAAATCCACAAAAGAAGTGAAAGTTAAGTATTCTATTCTCAAGCAGTTTATTATTTAACTTACAAATTAGATTTTATACAGCTTGATATAATCAGGAAAAAATCATACATATGTGTTTATAAAAACATACACTTTCATGACAATAATCTGAAGATCATATATACAGATAAAAGAGAGTCACATTAATTCCCATTATGAATGAGAAAAGAATGCTTGTATATTTTGCATTAGCCTAAAAAAATATCATGGGTACAACGAAAATTCATCTGGTATTTAAAGTTAAAAAAATAACGGTATTTATTTCATATTCACCAAGTGCACTTATTAAAGTCAGTGGGCATTTTACATATGTATCTGAGGTAAGTACTGTTCTTAGTAAAGGAGCTAATCTTTCCATTCCCTTCTGCGTCTGCTGTCATTATTAAACAAGAGAATGATACTGTATTTTCTAACTGACTGTTCCTTAATCTGATGTATTCTTCTCGTAATTACTACATTTGCAGAGCAAAAGACAAAATAAGGACTATTTCAACAAGAAAAAAACAGCAGTAATACAGAAGAACACAGTATAGAAAAATATGAAGATTATGTTAATTTGTCCAGTATAACCAATATTTCAACATGCAGAATTTCATGATTCAGTATCTCTATAATAAATTATTCATAAAAGGAAAAGAAAAAAAAAATCATAGCTAGATCAATATCTCTGTTCAAAATTAGAAATGTCCGTATCTGCCCAAGATAGCTCGTGACTCTCAGAAGTTTCTTAGGCTACTGCTGCTGACAATATGTATCAGTTCTAAAACAACTTGAATTGCACTGGCTACATTCTCAAAAATTATAACAAATATATTCAAAAAGAAAAAGGCCTTCATGGGACATGTACTAAAGATGACAGTTGGTTACAGAAACTACTTAAAGAGGTAGAAAAAAAGATTTTAAAATACAAATCTACATAAATTCAGAAACAGCACAAGAACTATGGATGGAGTGAAAGTAGCATATGATGTACAAAAGCCCAATCCACAAAACCAGACAGGCATGCAATTGCAATCAGACATTTGACATCACTTGTCTCTTAATACTGCTGTAGACATTGTAAATTTACTACAGGACTGACAATTCTACTGCATTACTCTTTTATTTTTAATCTATTGAACAGTTATGAGAAAATCCTATGTAAATCCATGTGGGATATAAAAAACAGCACCCTTGCCCTATCAAGAGATTTATGCCTAAAAGATATTCCTTGTATTTACTTAAGAAACAAGTTTATTACCCTGGTATTCTTCACCACTGCCTATACTTTAGGTCAAGTTTTTAATGATTTTTTCTTTTTCAGACAAAACAAAAGTTTTGTGCGTGTGTTACCCGACACACAAATCCTGAATTACAGAGTAAAAAGAATTTACTCCAGGGGAAGAGGTCACCAGGATGAAAGGTAGAAGAATCTTAAACATCAGCTAGACCAGATGTTGGTAAAGACAGCCTACTGCTGTTCCTCTATGATGTAGCGGCCTTTGTCTGCTGCACCTCCTCCAGAGTGTTTTTGGCTTAACAGATGTTTATAAGTTCAGTATTTTAACATTCATCTATCTTAATCTCCTTGCTCCTGGTATACTCATGACACTCTGTACTGCTGTTCACAAAGGAGTAAGTGATGAAAACTCAGTTTCTATGTAGTCAGTATAAAACTTCCAGTGACTCAGCAAGGCTTTTCACTGTAAGCTCTCTGCTCAGAAAGACAGCTGTGTGGAAGGCCCAGTGGGTTAACACAGGAAGTTCCTGGAATGGCCTATTGCTCCTTGGCATCACAATCACTCCATAAGTGATTTTATTTTACAGAAGTCACTATTCTACTGCAACTGGCATGTATGAATATAACACTTCTGTTGGAAGGAGCTGATGCTGTACTGCTACTGAAGTCACACAATCCCACACACTTCTATTTGCAAAATATATTATATAAAAATTATAAACCAGGATGTAAATCAGGCATTCCTGACACACTTTTAAAACAGTGACATAATCTTAGCTTACTACTCATTTTGTAAACTAAAGCTAATAGACTTCGATGTGCAAAAATCCCATTTTCTGTGAAGCTTCCCACCCTAAAATCCTGGCAGATGCAAACACTGCTATGGCTGTAAGAAAACTGAACACTCATTTTTCTTTTCTCCTAAGAAACCTTCCTACAGTATGTTATAGAATACATTTGCTATATGGATAGCTCCTATACCAAGTTCCGTCTTAAAATTTAACACTGCTTCTATAAATGTTTTACATAGAACACTATTTTCACACAGTTTCTGCTTGATCAAGAAAAACACACAAAATAAGCAGTACTTGTTGCACACGTAAAACGTAACAGAACTTTTCAAAGCATGCTTACAGGCAGAGAGCTAGGTGTTTATGAATTTACTCATTCTCTCAAATATTATTACAACATAATGATAAACCTATTTACAATATCCAATTAATTGTGTCAATCCCACTACTCTTGAATCAAAACCTTCCTCTGCCTGATGGGTCATAGGAAAAAAAAAAAAAAGCCAAAATTAATAAAGATGGTATGTAGCTATCTCAAAAGATATATACCAGACTAAAAAGCTATGGTGAATACTTAATGTGATCATATAGAGAAAAGGCAAATAACTTCAAATCCTGGATGAAAGTTCTTTTCATGCAAGTGCAGTAAGTGGTTGATTACTTAGTATTCTAGACATGAAGACAAAATATCAAACAGAAGACTCTGGTGACTTAATATCCCATCCCTAAATTGAAACAAAGACCCCCCAAAATCAAGACAAACTTCTTGTAAAATGTAGAACTTATTTGTCATTATCCTTCTGAAATTTCAGTAAAATCTATTGAATCGTTTAGTTGTATTTTTTTTTCAGCCAAATGCAGTTATCAGGAGCTGACTATTCCACAAAATGTCAAATAAATGAAGGTAATATGGAGGACTTTTTGCCAGTGCTTTAGCTAGTTGTTAGACTTCAGTAGCCTTTAGAGACCATTAAGTACCCTTTGGCTAATTGGCCAATGGTAGATTAATCCTCTTTTTATTCCAGCAGCACTATTTTAACACCCTTTGCACTCTGTCAGTGTAGTATCTGAATGACAAAATAATATTGTGCATGAATAATAAGCAGAAAAGTTAAATTAACATTTCATGTTTCACATGCCATACCTATGTGTCAGGAAAAAGAACCCTCTTTTAAAGCCACTGACATTCAACTTTTTTAAACAATCTCATGTTGACACCTTACTGAAGTGAATCTTCCTAATTACTGCTAATTGCCTATCAAGCAAAAAAAAAATCTTTCCTTGAAGTGCAGTTGTCTAGTACAGATGAACACAGCTCCAAAGTGCATAGTAAAGACAGGCATGACACTTGAGGTGTGCTACATTATTATGAGGTCATACTAAATATGGTTTGCAGTGAACAAAGCAGCTTTTAAGGATGTTTAAGGTACTGAAAATGTCAATCTCTCATGAAGTGTTTAAATTAGTTCCCTGCAGAGAAGTACAGACATTAACCAGCAGATAAGAGGTACATTTCTCATCTCAGGTATTTTACTAAAGAAAAACATTTGGCCTATTGATAGTGGTAACACAATTGCAGTTCATCTGCTTTATAACAGCAATATTTACATTGGAATCACCCTTTCACACATGCAAATTATAAATTCAGCTGTTATTGGAAAAACATTTGTAATCACTAACGACTCCTAGACTCAAAGATTTTGAATGTCTTCTTAAAACATGTACTACTATTACTGATCAATCATCATTTAAAAAGTGCTATTTGCTGTATAACACTTCATAAACAAGGGTTTTACATGTAACTTTAATTCAGGTACTTACAGTTGATCTACAGCTAAATTTATTCTACAACTTATAAAACCCTAGCATTGCAACATATGGCTACAGCAACTTATTAAATAATACAAAAAGAAAACCAACGGAATCAGTCCAGACAGGCACTTTTTGAATTTTGGTTTGCTTTTTTCTTTTTGTAAATACTAATAATATCACATAGATCAAGAGCAGAAATCATAACTATATTTTAGAGAAACATACAACAGTTACATACAAATGTATTGGAGTAATAGATTCTGGGCCCAATTCTCCAAGAAATTAAGTGCTCCTAACAAGAGACAAGTCTGAACTGTGCAAGAACTGTGCATTGTGCAACCAATGATTTTTTAAAATAAATTAAGGGAAATAAGAAAATAAACTTAGTAACAATATAAATCACAATTTTTAAAATGATGAAACTGCTTCTGATATATGTCATCTGTATAATAATTATACCAATTCAAAGATAAAGGTTTTGTCCTGCAGCAATTCTATTTTAACCTTCATTTTCTATCACATCAATTTCATGTCTCTGTACAAGTAAACATTGCTGTATTCCATGTCTAATTTTTGTACGTATAAAGAACACTATCTTGCTTTCATACTGAAGCAGATGCTGCACTCCATCTGTCCTTGCAAATTTCAAGGGAATATAAGGACTATTAACTATTTATTTAACAGTACTTATACAAGTAGTTTCATAATGATCAATTATATGATCATAACTGTATGATTTAATTTTTGTTGTGATTGATTTTCCAATATGGAGATGTAAACTGACAAAATATACAGATGTGCAGGACATTGTCTGAAAGACCTTAATATTTAAACAGAAAAACTACAGAACTTGAAGAAAACAATATTTATTAAAAATAAAAATAGTCAGTGTTTCAGTATATATGATATTTGAACTTATTTGAAGCATTAATATCTGCCAGACAGAGCAGTTCATTCAAATGTTTTACTACAAATAAATTAACATTGAAAATATAACTGGAGACATTTCATGACACCTTGAGCCATTTGAAAATATCTGAGTATTATGGCAAGCCAGATGTGAAGATGTGGCTGAAGTTCAAAACCAATGTTTTCACGTTTCTGCCACTGCTATTTAAATAAATACTAATAAATACTTGTGTTCCAACACCTAATATGCCTGTGCACATCAAGTACTGCTAAATACAGGGAAAGACTTCCAGCTGATGTGTAAAATTTGTCCCAAGACTTCCATGGCTTTATACGTACTAGGGAACTTTCAATATAAGACATGGTATCCATGTGATCTTTTGTATTTAGGACCAGGTTTTACTGCATGGGTTTTTTGTCAGAACTAGACAGTATTTATCTGATTTCCACCAAACATGAGAGTTGGGGCAAACTCATAAAGATTGAATTTTTCATCTAGGGTCAGGGATAGTGCTTGCCATATTCCCCCTGCTTAATCTTAACACATCTAAGCACTGCAAATGAACTGCTTGCATGAGAGCCAGTCAGGGAATTTCACAATCCCTACAACTCATTACAAATTTAACAGCAGCAATACTAAGTATTCATATGTTTCAGATAACACATACAAATATGCTGCACTAAAACTCATTGGGGGAAAAAATTAATAATGCTTCCATCTGTTTTCCGTATAACTCACATAAAATAGAGAGAAACCAAACTGAAAATGCTATTTTAAAGACTGTGTTTAAACTTTCTTTTGATTTACCCACTTATTTCCAAAGCATATAGCTTTATATCTTTAGAAATGAAAGTTATTTTTAAGAGAATATATAAGAGGAAAAAAAACCAACAAAAGAACTGAAAGAATGGTGAAATATTATTTAAACCTCTTCTCATTTCCATGTGTTTTAGAGAGTGAACCATTTTATACTGAAATATTTCTGCATCTCTAATGTAAGTGGGCAGGAAATCCGTACTTGTAGGGAAAGCTATTCCCTCCCCCATATTACTCTTTATATTTTATTTTTATATATTTATATATATTATACATTATTTTACATATTATTTTATTTTGCTCAAATTTATATATTATTTTCCTTTGCTCAAATTTCAGATTTTCAACTGTTAAAGACCATTCTCTTTCAACCTACTTTGAAAAAGTGATGTAGCCATTTCAAAATAAGAATTACTAACATGCAAGTAGGTTACAGGCATTCTCAGAAGGTTACAATATTCAAGGAACAAAATGTATAAAGATAGCTCTATGCTTAATTTTGTTCAATTATTTAAGTATCTCATTTGCAGACACTTCAGATATTAAAAAGAGCAGAAAAAATGTCCTCAGAGCATCTTCTCATTTGTTTTTATGAAGACAGATGTGTAAAAGCAAAACATTTTAAATATAAATTTTACTAACAAACTTAGGTAGTGGAGAAGTTCTATGTTCTCCTAGAGAATGAGAAACATAGAAATAAAGAACAAAGAATTGTAGAAAAAAAAACCTGTTAAGTATCTGGAAGAAATTTTTCTAATCACATAAAGGTGATATTACACAAATATTTATTTATTATTTACATTTTTTAAAAAGTAAACAAAGACATTGCTAACCACTTCTGAGAGGTACGAGAAATCTGATGACAAACATCATGGGGAGGATGCAAAGACAGGAATATTCTTCAAAATAATGAACTGCACTTAAAAATTATCACTAAAATGTACTTCATATAAATTAAATTGGTAATTCATCTCTGGATTCTTGTAAATGAACCCTCACTGTCTTATCTTTAATTTGTAATTTATATTATCATCAGAACCCTTGCTAAAATTACAGGCATAAATGAACAGTTTAGGGTAAAATACTCTTTACAATACTATATTATTTATATACTATTTATGCCTATTTAATATCTGAAGAGACCATCACACGAAAAAGCCATGTTTTCAGTCTAATGCATAAAGTGAAATATACTTTCCTCTATCACGATTATCATCAACATTATGACTCACTTGGGCAATTTATTATTTTCCCATACATGAACAGTTTGAGGACAACACTGCAATTCTAAATTCCAGCTTGAACGAGACCTACAGCTGCGCAGTAGTTCCCTCATTCTCTTCTGCTGGTTTTAGCAAGGTAAAAGTATAGACAAAATGACCCATTTTGTGTACACAATACCCTAAAGATCACAGGATTGCCTTTAAACCCAAAAATAAAGAGAAGACTGTGCCCAGTTCAGCCACCAAAGAGCAGATGCTTTCCCAGTGCCTGAGAATCTCGTGGGATGTGCAGTGGCTATGGCTAGTCACAGTTTCCACCGCTGAGAAAGGAAGTGAAGATCTTGGCACGTTAGGCAGCAGAAGTAGAATGGAGTGATGCAAAGTAAACCTGAGTATGATACAAGTCATGGGAACAATCCATGACTACCTCATTAATTCCCAATTAAGCCTTAGGAGAGCAAATCAGACCACACAAAAAATTAGTAAGAAAGGATAAATATTCTTCTACCTCCTCTAGCTGTCTATGAGGTTCAGGTATTTCAGGCAAACCAGCGCCTTGTCAAAACTACAAAATTCTCCCTTTGAATTACAAGGATAGTAAGAGTGTCTGACTTCAGCATGGATGACATAGAATCCTTGGAACTAGCACTCATTCTCTGCAACAATGTCCCCTCTGTCCAACACAGAGAATAAGTAAGACAACCCCAAAGAGAAAAAGCTGTAGATATGTATTTTTTAAAAGGAATCTCAGGTGTAGTTTTCTTGTCTCAGAAGTGTTCTTGTTGTAATGATTTTTTTTTTCTACTCTTGTAGAAAATGTCTTAGATCTTGACTCCCATTCCTTTATGCCTAGAAAGTCCAAAAATTCCCCCCAAACAAAATAAACCAACCAAACAAAAAAACAACCAACCAACCAACCAAAACCAAACATAAAAAACCTTTAAGAAGGTTCATAGATAATCCTTGGTAAACTGATAAGAACGGCTTGTACTCCTGGCTATGGAGGTATGTTTCAAAATTTCTTCCTGTAGTGGAAGGGAGTAGCCAGGACAATAGAGCACCAGCATTAACTTTGAACACATAAGCCTCAACAGAGAACTGTGAGAATGAGAAAACTGGAGTAAGAGGCAAGCTCTAACAAAAATATCAATTCCCTTTGTGCAAAACAATCTAGACAAAGAAATATCACCGTGTGACAGGTAAGATAATAGGGCCAAACAGGAAACTGGTGCTTTTCCGACCTATCAGTGTGGAACTGGTGAAGGTGAGGATGCCTCTCCTGAAATCTAGAGGAGTCCAAAAGAACTCTTTTTCTTGAAGGACAAGACGCGGGAGCTGTTATTGGTCCTTCTTTCTGATCACTGATAAATCTTACTAGAAACCAGAGAGTAATAAAATACATGGAGGAAACAGAGGACTTGGGAGTCCAAGGAGTAAGAGTTTTCAAGGTTTCTAGTTTGAGATCAAGTTCAAGCTTCTAGAGTTCAAACTCTTCTCTATTAAGGTATCTTTTCTGTGCTAGTTGTCTTAAAAAAAGGCCTTCCATTTTGAGAATGGGGACAAAAATATTAATTGCTAAATAAGGAAGAATACATTAAGATGTCAAGAACACATTAAACATAGCACATTACCAAATAGTATAAGGAAGCTATTCCTGACAATTTTTGTTTAAATCCAGAGAAGATACTTCTGGCAGCCATCTTCAGTGTCCTCAGAGAGAAAATGTGCATCATATATGTGGTCCTTTTTGAAAAATTAAATCCATTCTCTTGAAAGGATATGGAAGAAAAAACTGACCACTAATTTTAAATAGTCTTTTATCCATGGAAAGGTGGGTATTACACTTCTGTCTTTACCATTAATCTGTTATTATTTTTAGAATTCATTAACTACTGACCTTCAACCTTTCTTCATTGTTGTTATGTTTAAGACTTACTAAAGTTCTTGTTCCTTTCTTCCAACATATGATTTGTGTGTGATGCCAAACAAAGGTGCAATATTACAGAGTACTTTGACATTGCTGAGTAAAAAAGGAAATTTCTCTGTAAAAATTAATGCCTACCAGGCTACAATGGTCCTGCCATGAGGAACAGTAGTTTGACAAGCTGGTGACTCTCATGCTATGAAGTAAATTTGTGTTCCTAAGAAACACACTATTTGTTCAGCCTGTGGGTCTTTGCAAAATCAACACACATATCTGCAAGACAAAATAAATCCTACAAACCAAAACAAAACCCGAAGCAAACAAAAAAGCCACAGCCCAATCCAAAACCAACCAACTACTATTTTGACTTTACCCACAACTTACTGAGTTTTACTTTATGGTGGATTTCACATACAGTAATCTTGAGGGATAACATTAAAAATTAAGACCTCGTATATATATGCATTTTTTCCACGACCAACAGCAACAACTCTCTCCCCTCTAGGTTTTACTCTTTACGTACAAATGCTGTAAAACATTTGAAAAGGTAGACAACAAGAACATTTCTGTGGTCATTCACAAGTGCTGCTCAATTAAATATTGATTTTTTTCCTTTGGGATTCAAACAACAGAAATTATTTTTGAAAAATATTTTTGGTAGCTTTGGAAAAAAATCCCAAGACAGCCTCACTCAGAACTTTAGTTCAACAGAACTTCTTTCTTCTTACTTTAACTAATAACTGATTTTTAAATGAAATACAAGAAGATTTTAAAAAATATTTTAATGTTCAAAATTGAAAACAAATTTATTAAATATAATTTTTTTTTCAACATGGCTAACTTCAAAATTGTTACTATTATAACCGCTTTGGAAAGAAAAAATGTAAATTAAGAATTACAGCTTTTTGTGACTTTTTTATACCTGAAAGCAATTTTTTAAAACTGCAACACCATCTATAAAGATGTCTGGAAAAGTGACAAATAGAGGAATAGTACATGGAAGTTTGGGGTTTTGTTACATACCTTGGCTCTCAGTATTTTTTAAATTACCTGCTTCTGATACTAGCAAAACTGTGCAGCCATTCTCAATCATATTTATAAAGAAAGAAAATATGTAATTATCAATATTATGACAGTTTTACTTGTAGAGACTGTCACACACCCTTTCTGACCACAATTACTTCATGAGATCTTACTGACAAACACAAATTGCCATACATCTCTATAAGCAAAATAAAGTAAGGAAAGTTAAATTCCTTTAGAAAATCTAAGCAGAGTTTCCTTCTTGCAGCTGTACAGGAATCGTCCACTTGCTACGAAGAAAACAAAAATTACACACTTGCAATGCTTTAGATCACTTTCACTGGTTTAAAATCTTGTTCTCCCAAGTGACTTAAAAACCTGAGGAAACCAGCAGTATGTCTACACTGTACAGGGTGTTCCTAGTGATAATCACACTTTCTTCAACACCTAATACAAAACACAGACATTGTTTTAACAAATACCACTTGGCTGACCTAGAAGATAGGATGAAGGAATAAGAGAGTCACGTCCAATTCCTCATGGATTCTCAGCTTGAATCCTGGATTTTGCACAGTTTACCTTACGAACATGATCTGAGTGACATTTCACAAATTCCTGGATAAATGTTGCTACACTCTGCCACCACAGAGACTGGCTGTGTCATGCACAGATCAATAATAGCACTATATTTCATCAGCCTCAAAATCAAAAGTGCTTCATCTGGCAAAAGCCATGGCCCTTGAGGATCTGACATATATAAAATGAATACTGTACACACGATGTCTACTACAAAAGCTGCTGCTGTAAAGACAAGTCTAGAGACACACAGTTCAGTATATGTAAATAGGAAAGTATGTATTTATATATATAAAGAAGTTTTTAACTCCTATTTATTAAGAGTGTCACAACACAAAGCAGCAGCTGAATAACAGCAATGAAACTGAACTTTTATGATGCCTGACAGAAATATAAAAAACACAGGAAAATCCAATATTCACAGTCCTTGGAGGAATTCTCAAGAAAATAAAAGGACATTTTGAACTGTACAGGGTAGTATCTATGATAGTGGGCTGCAATAAAATGTACACTAAGCAAAATATAATGACTTCTAATCAAAATTATGTTAATTGAAAATATGCTTTTATCTTCTCCAGAGTAACTACTCAAAACAGAAGTCTTGAGATTGTCAATCATCATATACTACCTGTAGTTTCAGTCCCCAGTATAGGCCTTCCTAAAATAACAACAGAAATTTACATCTCCTGCCACTTAGGCTTCCTCATATCTTAGTCTTTTGGTGAAAGAGATTGTAAAGTTTTCAAATAAGTGCAGCACCAGTAGATTTTTAATTGAAATTACTTTTTATTATAATGCATCTCCCTCATTTTTTTAATAGGAAATGTAGTTGTTTGGGGTTTTTTTTCTGCCAAAGTTTATATTGCAAACAATACTTTGGGAAGTAAGCATTTTTACTGTTTTGAAGCCAAACCTTTAACAAACTATCTCACCTTGAGTACTTTATCAAGATTTAGACTAAAAAAAAAAAAAAAAAAATTAAAATTAAACTGTTTCTATGCCCCCAATTAAAATGGAAAGCATTTTCCTAAAAAAGTTTCATGACTACTAATTAAAAATATATTTTCTTATGCTTAATCCTCCTGGTAAAATATGAAGTAAATATTAAAAAAATCATAATTTATCTTTCCTTTTCTGCATTTTCTTTACCAACTTACATACTATCTACATCAAATACTTTAATTTTTTCTCAGCTCTGCCATCAGCAAAATTCAAGGGGTTTTACAGGACTCACATAATCCTATATTCTGTGTATATTACACAAAAAAGCCATTTTTCCTTCTCTGCATATCTTCTGCTTAAGACTAATGATCTTTAAATGCTCCTGTTGCACACCATGGAACGGGCATTTCCTTTGGGTTACTTCCTTCATTTCAATATCCATCTTCCCTGTGCCGTGACTTTAGATGTGTATGCCTTCAGTGGTGATGTCTTCTTCCTCTGCCTCAGAATTTCTCTTCCTTATAGCCTGATGTTTGAACACTATGAGAGCACTCCTGCTTGGTTTCAGGTAGATCCTTAAAAACAAGTAGTTTGACTTCCTTAAATTCATCATCCTTGTTTACATCTCTTTTCTGCATTTCTTCATTTTAGCATGAATTTAAAACATACTGTTGCCCACCTGAGCTCTATGACATAAACTCACTTCCATCATTGCTTCAGGTGAGCGAACAGTGTTACTGAAGTTGAGAATTTACCTTCCCATTCATACTTCCCATTAATTAAGCTCATGCTATTGAACAAATACTCTCTCTGTTACTTTTTCATGCATCCTACAGACCCAACATTTTTTTATTCCTTTAAAAAAGAACCTGCCCACAGCTAACCACAAGCATCTGATTTCTCTCTAATTCCTTTTTAGATTAGTTGGCCAATATCATTGCCACTGTCTGACTCTAAATGGCAAGGATCAATTACAGTCACCTAAAAATTACAGATCTCATATCTGGTATGTTTCTGTCTTTGCTATTTTTTCAACCTTCCTTTGCTAGACTGATAACTCTAGAAGATTTCTTTTTTTCAGATATTTAAACTTGAGTTACCGGCTAATCTGCTCTCTGAAAACCTCACATTTGTTCTCTGGAACAA